CCTCCTCCCCCCGCCTCTCTCTCTTTGCCCTCGGGGTCTGCTTTTCCGACGAATCAATTTAGTTCACGTCGACGCGATCCTTTTGTTGCTCTTGGCGTCTTGCACCGGCCGCCGCCGCCGTGCCGCCGGCGCTCCGCAGGCAGCTGGCTGCGACTGACAAACGCGCATTGCGCTGACTTTTTGTGAAACAGGGAGTACTATTCGCCTGGCAACAGCCCCGTAGAGCGTACATTTCACCGGTGCGTTTTATAATTCCCGGCGGCCCTCACGTCCCGGAATGTGTCGCAGCAATACGAGTACAGTACTGTACTGCAAGCAGCCGTGCCACCTGCTCTCACCACGGCGCCTTACTGCCCCTTGCGAGTAGGCAACGCGCCCACACGGCTGCATGCGGTACAGTATTTACTGAATTGTGCTCCGAGCTCTTGGCTACCCTGTGCAACGTTCGTTTTTCCTTGAAGGGTTCATCGGTATGTTATAACGCAGTTGGCTAGTTGTCTCGTCGCAGCGGCCCGACGGCGTGCTGCCATGTCGCCGAGCCTCCTCCTCCGCCCGTACCCGCCCCGATGATCAGCCTTTCCTTTCCGTCTTTTATTTTCCCTTATTTTTCGAGAGCGAGATACTTTATTTTTCATGGAGCCTGGACGCTGCTGGCCGCCGAGGTCCACCGTAACCGGCAGGAGAGGAATTCAATAAGTTGAAGCAGTCGAAGGCTGCTCCTGCTCCGGCTTTGGCTTTGTGTGCGTTCTCCCCCGGTGCGCTCCTGTGTGGGCGGGGGAAAGGAGGGGGGCAGCGTCATCAGGGATGTCACCTTCAAGTGCATACTAAGCGTATTCTGCGTTCGGCGATGACGACGCAGTATTGCGTTTACCCGCAGACGATGATGGTAGATCGGCAGGCCTGCAGTCTGTCTGTCGTGTTTGGTGATGCGCTGATTGTTGGGCGGAATGTTGTTTGTTGCTGCAGTCAGGATTATTGTGTACTATATCAAAGCTAAGCCTGAGAAGGTAGTCGGACCAAAAGTCAGCTGTGATCCTGCCTTCGCTCTCACCGAGTGCTGGATTGCACGTGACGGAGTGCATTCTCGTCCAGGGCGCGGGGAAAAATTTCGTACTTTAAAATCCCTATCTGTGGCGCTGAACAGGCGGTGGGGGTTGGACGATGGCGCACTCTTGTCTGCTGGAAGGGTTGGGAGGGCGCGAGTCCACGCACCTCTGGAGCCGAGCCGCCTCAGCTGGACCTGGAATGTGTCCCTCCCTCTTTAGCTCCAGGAGCATCCTCTGGAGTGGGGGGCCGGGCTGGAGCGGGTCCAGGGCCCAGAGGCGAGCGCCGCTCCGCCCCGCCCCGCCCCCGCTCAGCCCGCCCGTGGACAGGAAGCCGCTCTTCCGTTCCCAGCGGCCCCTTTCCCTCCCCCTGGTGCCGTGCCGGTATACCGTGCCGGTGCCGTACAGCCAGGGGCTCTCTAAACGCTCTCCTCTTTTTATCTCATAGGCGTCGGCTCTGTTGCTCGACGCTGCCCCGCGTGCGCATCACGGCGCTCTTAGCGACCCTCCGGGTACTCACATTATGACGATTCGAGCCCGGCGTGGCGTGGTTCCCATGACGCGACCCTCACCCGCCCCCGCCCGCCACCGCCCATTGATGCCTGGCACGACTGCCTGTCTCGCATTCAAAGAAAATGTAGCTGTCGCCTTAAATGGGCGGTATTTTTGTTTTTGAGTCAATTTAGGTTCCTTGAGATCTCTTCCCGTTTACGCCGTTACTTACGCTTGTGCTCTGTTTCGCAGGTATGGTGACCCTGGCCGGCGAGTTTCGTGTGGTGAGCGAGCGGTGGTCACCCAGCCTCGGGGACGAGCAGTCCGCCGCCTGGAGGACTCTGGCCGACAGGATACAGCTACAGGTGGGTGTCTGCCCCGGCCACCCTGGGTCTCGCCCTGGAGCCGCCCGCCACTGACCACGCCCTGTTCTTGTTGCAGCTGGACGCGCTGTTCGAGGCGAGCGCGCTCGCGGCGCACTACCGCCACTCGACGGTCACCTCGCTGAGGCCGAGTGAGGACGTACTCGACGCTATCGACGTGGACTGCGACGTTGTCCTGGGCGACGCGGCGCACATGCCCGACCTGGTGGAGCGCGCGGGCCTTGCCTTCCTCCGAGGGCTGCGGAGGCGCGCGGGCCGCGCCTGGCTCGGTGACCTTGCCGTCGACGTGCAGTCCATCGGCTTCGTCGGCGCACCCATCGCCACCGACGAGGACGGCGAGGAGGCAGGCCCGTCGACGCCGACCCCGACCGCCGCCAGAGCCGACCCCGCGGTGCCCGGGTGGGCGCCGTGGTCGTCCTGGAGCGAGTGCTACTGGACCGGTTCGTCGGGAGACGTTCGCGGTGGCGGCAGCGCGGGCACCATGGTGCGTCTGCGCAGCAGGACATGCTCGCTGGACGGAGGCCGCGGCCGCGCCCTGGACGGCCCCGAGCCGTGCCTCCTGCGGCTGCCCTCGGCCGGCTCGCCCTTCGAGATGGAGCCATGCCAGAGCCAGCCCGCACCCGGCGCGCCCACCGCCGCCACCATCCTCATCCAAGGTGTGTTTCCAGGCATTCTGAATCTCTCGCCGGCGAATACCCTCGAACACCTGTCTAACTGTTTCCCCTCTGCCCACAGACACCGTCGTGGCGCTCGGCCCCTCCAAACCCTCCCCGGTGACGCCGGGTGCAACGCCCACCACCAGCACGGCACGGCCTCCTAGTGCCACATCGCCGACGTCCTCCTCGTCTTCCACTTCGACTGTGATAACCCCCTCCCTGCCCCTCCACCCCGCCACCCCTGTGACGTCCGCGTCGACGCCGTCTTCCGAGCCGCACCCCTCGCCCTTCTCTATGACCACGCTGCTGGTGCCCGTCATCGTCACCCAGCGGCCCACCACCACGTCCACTACCACGGCCGCCCCCCGCAGAGAGCCCCGGCACTGCGACGAGTGCCTGACCGGCGAGGTGTGCGTCGCCCTGGGCGAGGAGGCCGTGCCCCGCTGCCACGCCGTCAAGGACCCGCTCGACCCTACGGGCTGCGGTGGCCACTGCAAGCTCAACTTCGAGTTCTGCCAACGCCTCGACGTGGATGCCTTCCGCTGCGTGGACGACTCGGTGTGCCTGCCCGGCGAGTGGCGCTGCGGCAACCAGCTCTGCATACCCCTCGTCAAGCGCTGCGACGGCCACTTCAACTGCTATGACCACACCGACGAGCACAACTGCGGTAGGTATCTGAGAATCTTTGGAGGTGGCCCTATAATTTTGTAGTGTTCCCTGCCGCGCCACTCAAAGAGACTGGGGAAACGAATGGAAAATTAGTTTACGTCTACTACATATTGATACCAACTAGTTGGAGCTCCTAACTTAAAGCAATCAATCGTTCTATGCTTGGCCGCCGGTCATCTCAGATAAAGATATAGAAATATTCTACTCCATCCTCTGATGTACGATTTTTCTCTTGCAATAAGTAGTTCTCTATTGATTTTACAGAATGCAATCTGCAGACGCACTTTCAGTGTGGAAACAAGACATCCTGCCTGCCTAAGTCGAAGCGCTGTGATGGTGTTGTCGATTGCTGGGATGCTGCTGATGAACTAAATTGTACTAGAAGTAAGTATACACTTGCTGATTTGTTCACACTTGTTTTTAATTCATGATCACAAAGACTTACAAATTATTTCTCATCCCAGCTTTCTCACTTTCAGCTTGCCCAAGGCAAGACCAATTCACATGCTCTAATGGCCAATGCATATCTCATGCAAGATTCTGTGATGGATTTGCTGACTGTGGAGACAAGTCTGACGAACCTTTTGGATGTGGAGGTGATTGCAAAAACCATGAATGGAAATGTGGGTAAGTTACAGAAACTATAAACAATAAATAAATTGTTGTATATTGAAAATCTCAACAGAAAAAAAGGGATAACACCTAATGTTTTTGTTTTCTTTACGGTTTTTCAGAAATGGTAGATGTATTAGGAAGCGAGCTGTATGCAATGGTGTAGATGATTGCGGTGATCTATCAGACGAAAAGGAGTGCAGGAAAAGCAGACTTCCTGGAAGTTAACAACCATCTTCCACATTTAGAGAAACCAAAAAGACTTAAATATATAGGATTATTTAATTATTTAAAGAAAAATGTATAAATCTGCAGCCCTGGGCCTGTCAGAAAACGCCAAAGATAGTACAATACTGTTAGTGTATTTTTAAGTAATACACAGTTTTAAACATTGTGATGTCTACTTTAAGAAAAAAGAGGGACACCTCTAAAGAATTTTGAAAGTGTATTTTAGGTTGTAACTAATAGTAAATTCTACTGTGACATTCATAAGAACCATTATTGAACCAAGAGTAGCTTTTAAAAGCGCACTCCAAAATTTAATGCAAAAGTCTTATTTTTGTGAATACGTTTTTTTTTTTAAATGGTGTGAGTCAAAAAACCAATCAGGTCATAAAATCCTGTTAGCAGAACAAACATTTGGAAATGTTGATAAAGAAATCTCAAAGTTTACCAAGTAAAACTGAAGAATTTGTACAGCAGGACACAAATGTCTAAATAATACTTGCTAGTCATTTGTAATATTGTTGATTTAATTAAGGTTTGTATATGGGGATAGATAATTTAGAGGATTAAGCCTGAACTGTTAGAAAAGATATGTATTTGTGTAAAAATGTTAAATTTCTATTTAAACACCAATATTCTTGGAAAGAAAATAAAACGAGTGAAAACAGAGTAACAATACTACCCCAGTATTTCTGAGTATGACCCTCCTATCTACCTCACTACGACCAGAAGGCCCCCACACCAGAAAGGATTGTGAAATCGCGCCTCTTTTCTTACTTCTGCACCAAGGAGACAACCATCAAGCAAACTGTGAAGTTTTGCTTAATTGATAGAGGCTTTGAGAAACCAGAAACAATAAAATAGGGTTTCAGAACTACGTTTTGTTGAAAAAAGTAAATGACTGCTAAATCTTTTTTTTAAATGAGATATTAATTTCCATCTGGGACTATATACAATAGATAGGAAAGCATTTTACAAAGACACATATTAAATCAAGAAACACAGGCAGCAGCCAAGGTAAAACAAATCCCATAAAACTACATGTATGAAAATTCAATATGAACCCATCAAGGGGTGCAATATATTGAATTGAAGAGTACAGGTACATTCACTATTTTAGATTAGTTATTTTACATTCTGTTGAATAAAATTGTACGTAAGCTACCCTTATAGAATCATAAGACAATTTAATTATATACATACCGTGAAGTCTCTTTTTAACCAAAATAAAGAAGTTAATGATCCAATATCATCAACATTCAGTGGGCTTAATGCGCAGAATGACTGGAACACTGGTGCAGGGAAGGATGGCACGCTCTGTCACAACAGCAGTAACTAAATCTGGTGGTGTAACATCATACACCAAGTTCAATAGGCTGAGAGAAGGGATATCTCTCCAGTTTGCCAGTGGGCGTTCACCCTCTTTCTCTCTGTCTCCGGCCCTTCGTGATCCGATAAGCTCATCAGGGTCAGCTAGAACAGTTCAAAATATAATTTACAATTATAATTTACATTTAATTTAATAATTTACAATCATCTTCACTCCAATAAACTCCTAACTACCCACGTCACCCAAAATTCCAATATTCATTCTTACAATACCCAGTCTAACAACAATATATTCCCTCTATTAAATCCACCAAATAGGGCTTTAATAGTGTGTACTATAAGAGCTGCCTCCTCTACAATAGCCTTCCAGATGCCATCAAATCCACCAATGACTGCATTCAGTAAATTTAAAAAACTTGTCAAATCTCATTTTTTTAATAATACAGCAACCTTTTTACTGGAAACTTTTAATATGCTTTTATCAACTTTTAATATTCTAATTTTTTGCCATGTTCACTGCCGTCAATAAACCATGTAAACTTTTATGTCCAACACGAGGCCTGGCCCTCTGGACCTCACCAGATGTACAAAATAAATAAATAAATAAATAGGATAAAATATGGCAATATGGTGCATCACAAAGTTGTAGAATAGCACAAAGCTAAATGCATCCCAAAATAATAAAGAAAATTGTGTTTCTGAAAGTATTAACAGCATACCTAATTCATTGTAGACAATTGAGTCAGTTTGAACACGCTCACTAAATTTGTATGTTTCACAACATACCAGGACGGGTACATTGTATGCATGAGCCAAGAGAGCAATTTGGGATGTACCAGCTCGAGACATAACATAGCCATTTGCTAAAAGTGCATGTGCACCAAGGAGTACTTTAGATACCTGAATGACATTGCAGAAATAAGAAGAATAAGTTTTAAAAATATTTCATACTAAAGAAAACTAATACCATACTTTCATAACCTACTTGTCTCATTACAAAACTGGCAGCAGAGAGGTGAACATAAGAGCACTGAACACCCATTGAGACAAGACGTCTGAGCATCTCCCTTCCCTCCAGCCACGGGAGTGAGTCAACAACTATGACATGAAATTTACGTTTAGTCTCTAGAGCAATTTTAAGAGCACTAAGGACTAGTGAAGAGCTGGAAAATAAAAAAAAAGATGGTAACATTTCATCAGTCAGTGTTCAATGACTGTTGCAAAATAACAATTTACACTTACCAAGCATACACTAAAATAACATCATTGTCATCGATTTTGTCTTTGACAACCTCCCCAATAGCTTCAGCTGCCTTTCCAATTTGATCAGAAATGTACTGATCAATAGCTTCAAGAATATGTTGTCGAGCCTAATTTGCAAAACAGCAATGACATTTCCTAAGCTCTGAATCTACTTCAAAGCAAGTATTCAAAACCAACTACAGTACTATGAATTGCAAATACTTTACCTCTGTATCAGAGTTTTCAATTGATAATTGAGTTAGCTGCCACTTGATGTACCGCAATGCATTAACCATAGAAACTGAATGAGGACGGCACTGCTGTAGAAAATCCATGTTGGGTTGAAGATAGGCTTCTAAACCTCTGGAAAATTCTTTTTGAGGTGGAGTTTCATAGTCAGCTATCAACTGGAAGTTAGAGAAAGTAGGTAAGATCATTGCATGAGCCTATAGTTCAACCTAGAAATACGACTCATTTGCCTGTGTCATACTTACATCCTTTAGAGTATATAAGAGAGCAAGGCATCGTGCATTAGATCCAAGTATCACACGGTTAGAATATTGCACACCCAAACGAACAATAGACATGTGATATTGAGGATGGCTGACACTAAAATTAGAGAAGTAATTTCAAACAACAAATACATTACATAACATAACAGGAATTTACATACATAACAGGAATTTTCGTCCAAAGAAATTACCCAATTGTCTGTGATATGTTTTTGAATGAGTTTTGATATAAGTGGCTAAAAAGTTTCACTCGTCGCTCTGCCTTTGTATCCTTCACAAAAACAAAACAAATGTAGCATTACAGAGGGAAAAATAGAATATTTCAGTTTTCTTCATGTGCAACGCAGTTCTTACTATAGCTGATTTTGATGTTGAAGATATCTTTCCCTGTTCTTTAGCCTTGATATCCTTCAGTTGAGGTTTCTCAGGCGGCCTTAAGGACTTAGGCTGCTGTATAGTCTGTTTCTGAACATTTTGTAGGGCCTTTTGTTTTTCTTGCTGCTGGGCCTTTGCGGCGCGTTGGGCTTCCTACATCGAGGGGCAACAGAACACAAAATAATTGTACCATTCAATGAGAAGTCATTATCTGATATATGGAAAGAAAACTAACCTGCTTGGCACGTCTCTCAGCTTTCAGTTCAGCCTTACTTTTCTCACTACCTTCCTTCTTCTCAATGTCTCCCTTTTTCTCATTTTCTCCCTTCTTATCAGAAACTTCTTTCTTTGTAGTCTCTATCGGTTTTTCAGTAACTGACTTTTTAATAACAAGTCTTTCTTTCTTTTCAGGATCATCCTTTAATGAGAGGTGTTGCAAACTTTTAGGAAGTTCATTTTCATCACAATCTGAAGGAAGAACATTTACTCTTGCAAAATCAGGCTCATCTGGAGCTCTACTCTTTCGAGTCTGTGATGAACTAGGTTCTGATAATTTTATGGTTTCATTCGATGTTTCCACAGAATCATTTTGTCCAGTTGATTTTGGGTTTACACTTTTAGAGGAAGAAGCAGCAGTGTCTTTCTTGCTTGTGCCTGCTTCTTTCACCCCAGTCTTATCTGGTTTAGTGGGTGCAGGTTCTTGTGGAGCATTGCTCTTTGGTTTGAGTTTGGCAGCTGCCTTTGCAGCTTTTCTTGCCTTACGTTCAGCCTCAACATCCTCTCTTGATTTCTTTGATGCTTCTGGAGCACTCATTGTACTTACAATGGATGAAATTTCACTTCCTGATGAATTTGGAATACCACCGTAGAGGTGGGCGCTGCAAATTCTCTCACTACTAAGCTGATTACTGAGACTGCTTGAAGTTACAGTGACAGAGGAGGAAAATGATGATCTAGAGTAAATGGGGCCAATGCTACTTGCACTCTTCAGAAACTCAATATCCTGAAGGTTTAAACCACTGAAGTTTTTTCCAGATTGTTGCATATAATGGTCAGTGACATTAACACTAGTGTTTGAAGTTCCCTGTGTGCCTGATAATCTGGAAGCTCCAGGGGAAACAACTGTAACCACCTCACTGTGAGGGGGTGCCGAAGGGGTTTTACCCTTTTTAGCCTTCTTAGAAGACTTTGTTGAGTTGCTTGTGCCAGTTGATTGAGAGCAATTCATCTGTTGCTCAGAAGCTTCCAATAGATGTATTGCCTTTTGAACAACCGGAATGAAAGATGCTGAAATCTGAACAATAGAATTACTTTCGTCGTTGAGTTTCTCCGGAGCAGAAATTTCCTTATCTACAGACTGTGTTTTAGTTTGTTTTTTCCGATTCCGTTTCCGCTTAGCTGGGCCAGCCCCAGGTTCTTCTGGTTGAAATTCAGTAGTAGAAACACTGAAAGAAAACAATAATAATGAAGACACAATCCATAAATACAAATGCAATGTTTTAGCATCTTGATACTGCTTTCACTACCTTTGGGCAGAGGACAGGTTTTCCTGACATTGTTTAGAAGACTTCAACTCTGCTTCCAGGTCTTCAGAGGTCGCGGTATCATTAGAAAAAGAAGGTTTATCAGACTTTGATAAATTTTGTTTCTTTTTCTTTCTAGGATGCTTTGAGTTTGGAAAGGCCTGGAAAAAGCACAAAACAAAATTAATAAAATATTTACATTCAAACCTTAATGTATACCGTGTATCAGAACAAAAATAATAATGCCCAGGTACTTGAACACTCCAGTTTTAAAAGCCAATTACTAAATAGAAGATACTTCGTAGATATTGTGGCCTTTAAAGTAAGTATCTAAAACTAATCGTCTTCTAAGCCAGTGTAGGGAAACCTATAGCGGGAACTTGAAACTCCGAATGACTCAAGAAACGCACAAACCACTACAAAACTTTGAAAGCTGAGGAAAGCCATGCTAATCGAGATAGATGTGTACCTGATGATGGTCCATCCTGATCGCGTAGGCTGTAGAAACAGCGATGATACAATAAAATTACTCTATTAATACATTTAGAGATTGAAAAAGTAACACTAAGATTGATTTCTGATAGATTTTGAAACACAAATTTCTGAAGAATTCGAATACGAACAAGAATGGTTAAGACATGATAACTAACTAAGTTAAGTCATGATAACTAACTAAAATCCCTGAAACACGCGAACCAGAATTGCTCTCGCTTTGACAACATGATGAAATATTGCGTTATATACTTACTTTTTAGGTTAAGACTAAAGAGCGCAGATGCCAAGGTGCCCTCGCGCTGTCACTGTCTCCTGGCAATATCTCCTGACAAAATAAAGTCATTAGTAATAGATGTAATAAATTTAGAACGAGGTCAATGCGAATAATTATCATTTTTTCATTGAATTCCACATACACTTATTGAGTAAGTCGCCTGCCTAGCATGACAGAGTGGTTATATCCAGTTGTCAGGTGCCGTGCCTGTTTTCCTGCAAATAGTACGTAAACAAAAACATGCGCCTGCTACGATTCGGATAGAAGCGTCGAAACCGGCTAACATTTCTACACAGCGCTGATTAATACGGCGCATCTTTCAAATAGCTCCGGCTAACCGGTTATCTGTACGTTCGTCCAAATTACGACACATTATTCACATTCGCACTGCCCAAATAAGGTACTCAAAGGTGATTGTGCTTTCGAGTTTGACAAAATTTAGGGTCGTAATATTTGAACTGGAAATGCATACTGTATTTTGTTCTAAATGACACAAAACCCTGACCTTGGCCGCGACGATCCCTGCAAACTGCAACACGCTACAGCACTTGTTCATTATTATGAGGCAATACGCATTTAAAAAAACAAAAAAAAACAAGAATACACAAATGATTTAACTCAAAATGAAGAGCGCCGTATGGTGGATGGATTGACGGTGGAGTTGGGAGAGGGAACTACGGTGTTTCTTTGAACGGCCCTTTGATCCGTTCTTTAAAATTCATTTAAGTTCCGGCTGGATCCCTCCCAATGGAATGATGACAACCTACTTGTTTGAGTTCGGATATTCACATAATAGGGTAAGATGCCCTATGATGGCCACCTTAAGAATGGGCCTGCCCAATAATGGCCACCCCTTTTTCTTGTAATGTAGACAACGATGTGACATAGTTTGGCTTATTATGCCCAAGAAGGGACCTTACTAGAACACTACTTCAAGGCCAAGATTGTAAAGTGACCAGATTGGCTGGAAATCGAGAAAAGTGGCCATCAATGGGACAGTGGCCACAATAGGGCACCTTACCCTATGCTTTGCTTAAACCAAATGTTGTTTTTATTTAAAGAAGAAAGAATAGCAAACAATAACTACGAACAACAACTGTTGCATAGTTTTGAAAACCCCGCTTTCTCGACTGCGTCGACTGCGTCTCTCAACATTAGTCCTAGCCACACTCAGGCAAGTTCAACCTCATTTCTGACGCCCTCTTGTAATCGGTCTATCGCACTCTGCGGCAAGTGGCCACACGTAGGAATGCCTATATAAGGGCCACGATGCCGCGTATACCCAGACACAATGCTGCGCGCGCTGCCCGTCGTCCTGGTGGTCCTGGCGGGTAAGTCCAACCCCCTCCCGCTAGGCTCTCCATCCTCCAACTTCTATTATGGTCCCACGGGTACATCAGCACTACGGTCTGTTGCGCCTCATCCCGTCAAAGGGGATCAAATCGCGCGCTCTAGACCCCCCCCCCCTTTAAAAAAAGTACATTGGATTTAGGGTGAAGGGTAAGGCAAGTCCGTACCTCCTCTGCCCCCCCCCACCGGGGGTGGCTGATCTGCGCCGTCTTCTCTTTGCTGGTCATCTGTACCGGAAGGGTTGCATACTCGCACGGGGCCAGGCGACATGGTGTGCGACGCAGGTAAGCCCACATGCACGCTCATGAATCCCCACTCCGGTACAGTCGGGTGTGCAACCAGGAAGAAGGAAAGCGCAGGTCACACAACCTCCTATGTTTGATACGAGAGTCTAACCTTCGACCTCAGGTAACTGAAAACCTTTTTTCCATCCCAAAAAGGAACATTGAACATTTTTACCTACAGTCTGATAGAGTGCCCAACCCATAGCGCGACGCACTGGTTAGTTATCTGGGCCCTCCACACGCGCCAGGCTACGGCCAATTAAAAACCGACTGGCTTATCTCGAGTGCCTTCTGCCCGCCAGAGGGGTGTGCCATAAACCACGAATTTGATTTCTGCGGGCACAATGTTATTGCCCCCTTTCGAGACATACACTGAACCACTTTCAAGTGTACACAACTATCTAGTTGAACACTTGAAAGTGTGCAACTGGCGTTGAATACTTTTAAGTGTTGGACGGTTCCCAAGTGAAGCGGATTTTGTCATGATTGGCAAGATTTTTGGCCATTTTCGTTTCACGTATTGATGTCGGTTTGAGATCATCGGATGTCAAAGCAGATCATTTGATGTCAAAATGACGTCAAAAAGTTAAACGAAAATGACAAAATCTTGACAATGACATCAAAATATCAAAATGATGTCATTTGGATAGAATCCGTTTCACTGGGTTCAACACTTGATTCATCAGTGTACTCGCCGCATGTTCGCACCTCTAATGGCCACGTGCTGCAGTTTGCCACGGCCTGCCGCGGCCGCACCCTCGCCTGCCGCCCCGCTTCCTCTCCGATGGCTACTCCTCCGGGCTGCAAATCGTCGGCGGTCTGGTGGCGGACATCAAGGACTTCCCTTACCAGGTCAGCAGTGATTTTCAAATCGTCGTCTCATCTATCTTCCTTTTCGCGCGTTTAGTTTTCATTTGCCTCTTCTCACCATGACCTGTACATCTTTTGTTTGACAGGTTTCCATGATGGAGTCCGGCAGCCACATTTGCGGTGGCTCTATTCTTAACGAGCGCTGGGTCTTGACTGCGGGGCACTGCGTGAACGCGTGAGTACAGTTGGGTCAGGATCCCTACAAATGTGTCGGTCTCGGATATAGACTTGCATTTTCCCGCCATGACATTCGCAGGCTGGACGGCGACGCCACCTCTGCCTCGGTGCGCGTCGGCTCGTCTTCGCGGGTCTCGGGCGGGCAGGTCGTGAACGTCATCTGGGCCGCGGAGCACCCCAAGTTCGACATCGGCACCCTGACGCACGACGTTGCGCTCATGCAGCTGGAGAGCGACCTTGACCTAACGGGCGTCGCGGCCAAGCCCACGCAGCTGGTAGCCCCGAACGCCGCCCCGGCCGCAGGTCAGCTGCTCACCGTCAGCGGCTGGGGCACCCTGCATGTGAGGATTCACTTGTGTTGTCTTCCTTCCCTATATGATCCCAGAGGATCCAGGCGTGGATTAAGGTCCGGCTGACAGGGGGAGGGGGATGCACTGTCGGTTGCCGACATTCAGGAGTTTTGTGTCGCAAATTGCCTATCGGTGATCGCCCCCCCCCCCAGACAAGAGGGGCGATCGCCCCCCCCCCCCCCGCTTAAACCGCGCCTGAGAGGATCCAAGCGCACTTTTTCACGTGCAGCTAGATTGTCTGCTGACTTGGTGATTTTTTCGCAATCCTAAAAAGCACTGTCCGACTCCGACCTCACCCCGGTTCACAGTGCGAGAAGTTTTAGACGTTATGATATACAGTTACTCCAACGGCAAAAATGTCACCTACGCGGATACATTAATATCGGCCGCCAATAACACACTCAACTTGACAACCCTAACTTGATAAAACGCACCTCACTGCCCTGACTCCGCACTTCTCACCCCTTTCTTCTCTGGCCCAGTCGGGTGACTGGGACTCGCCCGTGGACCTCTACGCGGTGATGCTGCCCTCGGTGCCGCTCGACGTCTGCAAGCAGGTGTACGACTCCCGGGGCGACCTCGTGGACGAGACCATGATCTGCGCCGGCGTGGGCGGCAAGGACTCTTGCCAGGTAAGCGAGAGGAAGGAATTTTAGGACGATGTAGAAGATTCGCGCAATACCCATTTTTTTTTGGGGGGGGGAGATATTATTTCAAGTATCATGTTGTGAACAGGGTGACTCGGGCGGGCCGCTGGTGGACGCCGAGCATGTGCAAGTGGGAGTCGTGTCCTGGGGAATCGGCTGCGGGTCGCCGGGTTTCCCGGGGCTCTACGCCAACCTCGCGCACCCCGAGCTCCAGGACTGGATCCGGGAGACGAGCAAGAATGACGACGACTAGACGAGCGTCCGGGTGGACTCCACGGAGTAGACGTCTACTTCAGAAATATACAGAGACAATTTTTTGGCTCTTTAATCTCTGCGTCACCCTGAGTGCCCTGAGCCCTCCAAATTTGAGTACGTAGTCAGGTATGGATTAAACTAAGAAAGGAGAACAATCAGAGATGTCTTAATTATTAACCTTTATCAAAAAGTAATGACTATTTATTATTTGTATGGTCCGTTTATCGGTAAAGCCGCAGAGCCACTTAAGTCACTCCAGGGATTAATATACATTTTCAATCAAATTCAACCCCTCTCGTTTAGAGTCGTTTTTGTGGTTCCCTAATTAAACGGATGTATACATACGTCGCTCTTTTCGGGCATGAAAAGTGATTTCAACCTTGACTATGAACCCTCGCTGATGCGAGGGCGCACTAACATTTAACTACCGGCAAGCTCCACAAGTCCTTATTATTTTTTATTTTATTTTTTCGAAAATGTGAACACCTAGGGAAGGATGAGATCCCGTGACCAGTCGGGAGTAGCTGGGCCTCGCGCCACAGTTATGACAGGTGGAACATCACGCAGTCACCTGCTAAGCTGACCACAGGCGCTGCGCTCGCGTCGCGTCCGTCTTCATGTCCATGTTGTCCTCGATCCAAGTGAGGACGTCGGCACCGGTGAGGTCGGCAAACACGGTGGGGAAGCCAGGCTGTCCGCAGCCGTGGCTCTGCACAGCCAGACCCACCAGCTCGCCCAGCCAGTTGACCAGCGGGCTTCCGACGTCTCTCTGTGACAATATAGGGAGGGACAATATTGCCTTGTTTCAATGGTGAATTTGTTCTTGTGACAGCTGGCACTTTGAATCAAGAAACTATTTATCTGGGTGTAAACATCGTGTTAACACTTTTAGAGTACTGTCGGACGAGGGGGAAATCACTTGCGTACTAACTCGTACACCCAGGCCTGTACTAAAGACGTACTAACTCGTACTAAAAGCGTAATAACGCGTACTTATGGTAGAAATCAAGCGTAATTGTGCCGTAATAAGAAAAAATTTGCAGAAATGGTGAAAAATTATGCTAAAAATGCACTGTAAAAAATATTAGTAATTTTACTAGCTACTGGGTGGGGAAATTTCATGTACAAAGGTTCGGGATTTGCAGTACATGGGTTGGGAATTTACCTACTGGAATGGGAAGTAGCCTTTGCATGCCACTTGCGCTGTGAAAGGATCCTTTCCTGCCCACGCAAGTGAATTTACTGACTTCGTTGATTGCAAATTTCCCGACGTGGGCTAGAAAGGGTCCGTTCGGCACCCACCGTCTGCGAATATCCCCAGCCCGACGAGGGAATCCCGTGGCCGTGGGCAGAAAAGTGTACTTGCGCATCCCACTGCCTGCAAATCTCCTTGCGGCGGCTGCAAATTTCCAACAAATTCGTGACTGCCACAGCGTCGTGGAAGGAGAGGTGGGTTCGGACTACTACTACACTGACGCCACCTCACCCCACACCAATCACCTCCTTTCTTTAACCTCGGCCACCCCGACGCGAAGCCCGCGATTGACTGCCGCTAGATGGCGTTTCAGTCAGCGCGTCTCCCACAAAATCAGCTTTTTCTATTAAATTAAAGGTCCCTTCAGGTAATGGCATTTAATTCTACGCAGTATGTTTTAGAAGGAATCAACCTACCCGACAACAATCGGCGTTTGCCGAAAAAGTGAACCATATCCCCCAAATAATCTGTTAAATTGTAACGCTCGGGAGGTCTCCGCAACGATGTCTTGTTCAGTACGTCCCCGTCACCTCGTCACTGAGAGGTACGCCCACGTGCGTACTTCCCATGTGACTTGTGACTTCACTTGTCGCTGCTATGACTTGTTCTCTTCTTGAGATCGATGATCAGATTTTTGAAACTGATTTCGGAAACCGGTGGACTATTATACAGTCCAGTCGGCCCGAGAGCAATACGAAAAACTCGCACTTTCCTCCTAAGGACTGTTATCGGAGAGGAAATTCCTGTGCTAGTGGAGTGGCAACGCCGCCATCCTTGTCCTGGGCTGGAGATTTGCATACGGTGGGCACGAAAGTCATCCTCACACGCGCGCAATGGGAAATTTGCTGACGGTGAGTCAGTCAAGACTCCTTTCCTGCCCACGTAGTAAATTTACTTGGGTGGGTTGGAACGACTTCTTTTCCAGCCACATTGGCTTGTAAATTTCCCCACCAGTGGGCCGGGGATTTACAGGCTATTTGGGTCTGTAAATTTACCGAACACTAGCTGGCAAAGGAGCGTTGCCACGCCGGGAGGGGAAAATTCCCTCTAATTTTTTTTACAGTGTGGGGTGTAGTAACGTGTACTAACGTACTAACTCGTACACTTTTACCCGGAGTGATTTCCCCCTCGCTGTCGGAATCAATCTGACTCCGAAGCAAAAAACTTCCAGTATGAAGTTTCAAGGCTCTACATCTGACCAAAGATAAAGTCCGATCGGAGATCGCGATCTCAAAACAGAAAACTGCATCGGATTCGGATTTAGGCAGTACGGCAACTGTTAAACTTAATTATTCGAGATATCGCATTGAAAAGAGTCAAAATTAGGCCTACCCTACCACACATGAACTGTACCGGGTGTAACTGTGAATACGCAGCAGTGTTGCGGGTTTGCCTACTCGTTACCCGTAAGGGGCTATGGGTAAAGAGTAGGCAAACCCGCAACACTGCTGCGTATTCACAGTTACACCCGGTACCCCCGGTACACATACTTACCAGGCCACACATACCGGCCGTCCAGCCCCCTGCGCACGCCCTCGTGTTGACCGAGAAGAAGTACACGTCCTTGCACACCTCCACGTCCATGGCCAGAAGTGCAGCCGCCCTCAACTCGTCCTGCGCACACAAACCGCTTACAGCACTATATTATGAACGACAACGAACGTGCGACAACGTTTGTCGCGTGTCACCGTAAATTGGCGACTTACTGACCTTGGAAACAAAAATAACCCTTAAATTTTTCCACCTCAAAGTCGTCGTTACAAATAACATACACTTGTGGGTGAGCGATTAAACACTGTAAAAAATATCGTAAATTTACAAAAAAAAATTTAAACTCGAATTTTAATTTAAGTTGTAAATTTACGAGAGCAGATTTTTTTTATTCGCCATAGATTTCAAGCCCAGGTAAAATGCACTTTGTATATGAGTGTATATGGCTTGTAT